TATATATATATATTAATTCATTATAATAAAACAATATATACGTATGGGGAAGTAATATGTATGGTCATACTAGCAAAAAAACACACAATACACAAAAATGGAGATAGCTTTAAAAAGATATAGTGGTCATAAAAAGACCTCTCTCTTTCGCCCTTTCTCTGACCAATCCTAATTAAGTTTTATTACCCCTTCAGCAGAAGAATATTTTCGCCACAATTCCAAGAAAAATTTGATTTACTACTACACACAAAAGACAAGGTTAAATATCAGAAAACATAAGGAAAATAATTCCGTTTATAATATGTGGAAATAACTACTCTTTGCCTGATGAAGGTTGTAAGACCAGAATTGCGTATAGCAAAAATATGAAAAAAAAAGTATAACATATATTTTAAAAATCCACATTATAACCAAAAATGTTTGCAGCTTCTCTCTTTCTTTATATATATATATATATATATATATATATATATATATATATATATATATATATATATATATATATATATATATATATATATATTAGTAGTAATAATCTTATAAGTATAAGAAATTATACTCGTTCGGAAAACCTTCGGTGTCTTGATTTGCAAATAATCAAACCAATACCAAAGGGAAAAAAGGTATAAAAAAGAAAGAAACAAGAACATGTACGTTAGCCGAAAATAATCGCCTAGCATGCAAGTCCAAAGCCCAAAGAAAAAAAAAACGGTACGAGTAGGCAAAATAACTAAATAAAGTGCTCAATACGTTAATTAGAGCAGACCTAGTTAAACCTGGCTCTCTAGGTTTAACTAACTATATATATATATATATATATATATATATATATATATATATATATATATAGGTTACCCATATAGATATACACCTGAGGCATGCTGGAGGCCAATTGTACTGGTATAAATAGTGTAAACAATGATAACTCCTCCCCCAGAAATTCAGGAAAATAAAACACCTGCTTTTAGAAAATAATTAAAGCTGAATATGCAAATTAAGGTAATCCTTCACTTACGCGGCGTAAAATAAATTGCTATTCTATTTACGGCGTAAAATCAATAAGACTGGGGTATATACGTTTGTTACAATTAAATATTAATAAAAACGGATAATCGTGAACTACGCAGCAAATAAATGTTGGAAACACGACGGTGAATGCTCCAAACAGTAAGCATTTTACTATAAAATTCGAAACTGAACCCTTTATTTAATCTACAGGACAATAGACTGGTAAATTAAAGCGTTGTTTTGTAAATCTGGTGACAATAATTGTGAGTTCAATCACTGGTCTGGATTGTGTGTACTTGTGTTCAGTGGAAACGAGATGAGCAATAAATTAGTAGTACTAAAAATGAAAGCTAGATGAGATATCCATAAACAAGGGCACTTGAACGAGAAAGTTTTCATGCATCTCATGATTGCCTCGTACATGAAATGTGGTACCGCTGAGGTAAAATCCATATTTATTATTAACTAGCAGCATAGCCCGGCGTTGCCCGTGCTTGATTCAAAAATCTTACGACTCATACAGCAATTGCTTGACATAAAATATTTTTGCCCTTCCTTGCCTTTAAAGGAGTGCCCTTTGCCGTGCTGATGTTGCTACATGCCTTACTTCTTGCCTATCTCACACTGCGAATTTTTTCTAAGCTCTATACTAAACATTAAATCTGTTACGAAAAAATAACTAAACAAAATGAACACAAAATGAACACAAAACGATCAGCTTTAAAAAGGACTCGTAAATGGAAAAACCGAATGAAAAAAGAATGTTAACAACAAATACTTTTTCGCAAACAACCCAGTTCTGCGAAATCAGAATCAACGTTGAGTTTAAGCACACGAATGAGCCAACTGGAGTAAAGTGCCATGCAGATTCAAATTTTTCCCACTTGTGACGAATGCAGCTATCGATTTTTTTTGCATGCTCGCATGCTAGTTAACATTCGTGTCAGTCAGCTGTTGGCTCTCAGGCTGGCCAATAAAATCTTCCTGCCTATTCGTGGCAGCCAGCTATTGGCTCTCAAACTGGTCGGTAGAAAATGGCCGCAAACTACATGAAAACTACCTTAGAAGCATGAAAAAATCGATTATTTCCACTATCGATGGGAGTTGGGAAATGCAAAGTCGGTGTTGACCTTCCCGTTAACTTGGAGCATGTGCATGTAAATTTTGGTGCAAAGCCCTGCATTCTTTACACACACACACACACACACACACATCCTGCCTTTTATAGATAGAGATATATATCAATTAAGCGGCGTAAAATAAACTGCTTTTTACTTAAAGGTATAAAATCAATGTCCAAGGTATATACGTTTGTTATAATTAGATAAGCATTTTACTAGTGTTGTTTATGCGTGCTTCGTGCAGGATGACATCGTGAACCATGTTGCGACTCCGGGAATAGACATAACAAATCAGTTGCTTTATCGCAACATTCTGTTTGCAAAGAATGTATCGTCTCTTACACTTCAACGATCTTTGAAATTCCAGCAATAATTATCTGTTGTATCTCGATAGGCATTTAGCCCAAACGCTCGGTTGCGCTGATTGCAACGTAGGCTATTTCGAATGAGCAGTCGTTGTGCTAACCAATTCAGCAGATTTATAGGACCCTCTAAAAGGATTTACAAGCGCAACTAAGCACCATTCTTGTAAAATATCTTCGCGGGTCGACGACTGACTGTGGGGCACTGGGTGCACTACGTCACATTATTGAAATGAAACAGGGCAGTTTATTTTACGCCGTTTAATTGAAGCAGAACTTTCACTTTCACTTTTATTTTACGCTGCTTTGTGAAGGATTGAGCAAACGAATTATCTCCCTTAACCCTTTGAGCCCCGATTTCCTGAACAATTTTAACCCTTCTGCCTGTGCTCCCGAGTCAAAATTCACAAATTATTGGTATGTAATGTTTCACCGTAGATATAAAAATAGTAACAAAAGTTTACCCTCTATGCAACCGGTAGCTTGGCATTAAGATATTTCTCTACCACTGTTCAACTGGTACTGGAAATTACGCCATTTTCTTAACAACCGGTAAAGTGATGGTCAGGGCTCAAAAGGTTAAGCAAGAAACATTGAGTTGGACAAGATATAAGACCATACAGGCAAAAAATAGCATTTGCATGATGTCACAGTTTTAATTAATTTTAAGAGTTTGGAGCGGACACACAAAGTAACTTTGACCTTCACATAGTAAATAATTAACCATTATAATTTTAGTCAAGGTATGCACTGCCAACATCGTTTTCACTGGATTGAAAACATCATTCTGCTCCTTGTACAGAGGTAGATTCTCAAAGACATCGTTGATGCTACTGATGAAACGCAACAATGCAACATACACTCTTTGGTCTACGTAAACATTTCCAAAACACGGTGAATGAAACTGGATTTAATTTCTCGCGGTTAGAAGAAATTAGTGACAATCCTCAGCTTAGTACGTAATTTTATGTCAGACGTCATTTTGACAAACTGCTGTTAAACTACTATATGTAAAAATGCCAATGGCTTATTGGCAACAAGGTTATACATTTATTCTCGTTCGCCTATGGGACAAAGAATAAAATAAAAGCGGTTTCTATCAGGGAAGCTCTCGTATGCTACTTTTTATATGGTTTTATACGGAGAAAAAAGCAATCTAAAAGATAGTTTTCTTTTTTAGTCATTTTTAATCCTTAAATTGGTATTAAATTTTAACTTAATTTACGTTTATCAATTTTTACCATACTTTACTAATACTTCTTTTTCTCTGTCGTCTGCATATTTCATTTTTACTACGAAACTTTGCACCGCAGATATGCAATGCTGTTAACTGCTGCATTTCTACAACGTCTCAGCAATCTTATCTTTATCTATAAACTTTCAGAAACAGCTGCCGACCATTAAAAAAAAATGACTTTTTTTTTTTTAAATTGCTTTTTGATCATCCCTTTTTTCTCTTTCGTTTTTCGTTTGTAATGAAATCGCTTCATATCAATAGATCTCGTTCAAAAAGTCGGGCGCTAGGAAAAATCGAAATGAAATAAGAAAGGTAAAAACAGATAATAAATAGATAAATAAAAAGTGACTATGATTTTTACATGAATGTCCGCTGGGACAAGTTTTCTTGATAATAGCGCAGTTGTCTCCCTTGGGTGGAATTGCCGGATTTATTTTTCTTTTAAGTAAGATTGAAAGATTAAAATCAACTAAAAGAAAACGCAAAAAGTGCCAGTTTAAAATAAGATTTAGTATATTACCTCATCTATCTATCTATCTATCTATCTATCTATCTATCTATCTATCTATCTATCTATCTATCATTGTGTTCATATCTGTCTATCTATCTGTATAAGTATGTTCATACCTATCTATATGTCTATCTATATGAGTCTGATCATATCCGCCTACCTATCTATACCAGTCAGTTTATATCTATCTATCTATCTATCTATCTATCTATCTATCTATCTATCTATGCCAGTCTGTTAATATCCTACGATCTATATCAGTCCTTTCATATCTATCTATCTATATCAGTCTATTCATATCTATCTATAATCAGTCTGTTTATATCTATCTATCGATCGATCTATCTATGCCAATCTGTTCATATATATATATATATATATATATATATATATATATATGTGTGTGTGTGTGTGTGTGTGTGTGTGTGTGTGTGTGTTTATCTATCTATATCAGTATGTTCATATCTATCTATAATCAGTCTGTGCATATCTATCTATCTATCTATCTCTATTCCAGTCTGTTCATATCTTCATATCTATCTATATCATTATATTGATATCTATCTATCTATCTATCTATCTATCTATCTATCTATATCATATATATATATATATATCATATATCATCTATATATATATCATCTATATATATATCATATATATATATATATATATACCATATATATATATATCATATATATATCACATTGTTCATGTATATATATATATATATATATCACATTGTTCATATCTGTCTATATATCTATATCAGTAAATTTCATATCTATCTATTATAAAATCTATCATCCTTTTCTCACGTCTTTACCATATTTTTAAATCGATAAATCTACCGAATTACTTGGTGAGTCTATTAGACTACTCTGAAAAAATGGAAAATCGATTTTTAGGCTAAATCTTATAGATTGGCAATCATTAGAAATTTCTTTGCACGCGATACGTGTTATAATCGAATGGTATTAATATTTTCGAACTGGGATCCTCTCTATAATATAAACCAGCCCTGAATTTTGTTGTCTCTACATTTTTGTTGTTTACATATATCAAGTTTGAAAGTGTGTTTACATCATTGATATACTTAACACTAATGTCGTTCTATTTCCCAATTATTAGTGTTTACGAACGTTTAACTACAGACGCATGTATAAACATTGCCAATGTTTGCCTATTGACTCAAGTATAAATGTTATGATGTTCAAACATAGTAGCCATAGATATTCTACGTTCACTGACTCAAAGTTGCCCGTGAGCTATAGTTATATAGCTCTCTTTATGCTAATTAGCTATTAGCTAAAACTAATCCCATTACATCTCTCTGAATTTTTTGGGTTTCACTCCTTGTGTGTATCTACGACTTCTCTTACATTTCCTCCCCCTCTCACTGACTGGTTTCATGAGTATTTTTCGTTAGTGGGGATTTTGATCTATTTCTTTTATTCTCAGTGTCCCATGTTTCGTACTCCGAGTCTCCCAAAGAACTTTGATCATTAATTGTTTCCTCTGCCATGCTTTCTTGTTCATCTACATAATCATCTGAACAAGCTTCGCTTTGTACTGCCTCGTAATTTGGGCTAGATATTAACTGGTCTGCATGGGTAACAATATTTTTTACTAGTCTTGCATATTAATGCCGTGATGTATTCTTTTTGCATTATGAAATTCGCCTTTTTTGGCTCGTTTTCTTTATTTCTTTTGTACCATATGTTTTCATTAATAGTGTAAGACATGGTTAATAGAGCTCTCATCTGTCTGCCATTAATGCAAGGCTGGCTCTCTAATCTGCCAGCATGTGGTATCATTATGTAACTCAACAATAATCCTGGTAGGTAAGTTTCAGTCTTTTCTTGCTGAGAAGAAAATGCTTTCATTCTCATCGTTATTATTTGGGCCATTTGTTTAGCAATTTTCAGGCCAGGCGGAAAAAGCGTCAACCAGTATTAGACATAAACTTACCCCCTTAACTTGAGCGTGAACTCTAGACCTTGGTTTTGTTTCCTTGGGCTAAGAGTGTAACTTATTTATTTCGGTACATTTAGGAAATTTGCTTACGTAATTCTCCACGTCTCCCGGCCACCACGCTTCCAGTTTTCCTTGTTTTTCGTGTGTAGCGATTATTCCATAATGCACTTCATCATGCACACTTTTAATTACTTTTTTTTCTACTTTTTCCGGTAGTACGACTAAATCCCCATTACAAATTAGACCATTTTCTATTGATAGTTTGTGTCTTTTTTCTATGTTTGGTCTTTCTGATTTTAAACAATTACTCCATTTATTGTTCATTATTCTAGATAAAATTCAACTTAAGACTGGATCATGTAACGTTTCCATAACTAGGCTATTCATGGGCAATATATCAGTTGCCACCCAATGCAAAAATTCATCTTCAAATATTTTATGTTTTTTTTTTCGTTTTTTTTCCTATTCAAATTGTGGTAGGGACAATGCGTCTGCGTGCGGTATCATGTTTTCCTTCAAGTGTTCTATATCATAATCAAAAGCCATTAACTTCATAGCCCATCTTAATATTCCTAGAATGGAATATAAAGCCTAAGGGCTTATGATCGGGTTACAACAAATATTTTTTTCCCTAATAAAACTTGTCTTGCTCTGTTCATAGTCTATACAGTCGTTTTCAATATTAGAATAGTTTAAATCACCTGGTGTCAATGTCCTGGAAATATGCATCAACCGGTGTCATTCCAGGGACAGAATTATCGATGCAGACTGGCCACTTGCTTCTGTGGTTAATGTAACCTCCTCTTTAGGGTCAAAAACCTTAACTACGGTTTTTTTAGAGAGAACTTCTGTTAATATAATGAATGCTGTTTGTTGTGTACTCGTCACTTCAAACTCCTTGTTCTTCATTTGCAAATCAGAAAACGCTTCAGTTCTTTCAGAATATTTTGACAAGAATTTGCTATAAAAACTGGTTAATCCGAGAAATGATTCCAACTCTTTTTTATTAGTTCCAGAAGATACGTTTAATTTTTTTGTATTAACGTCGGGTTAACGTCGGCGAAATACCGTTTTCTGAAATTTGGTAACCCAAGAATGATAATTCTTTGCAAGTAAATATACACTTATTTTCGTTTATCGTCACTTCTGCCTTCCTTAACTTATCTATTAAAAATTTACTTTTTTTTGTTTCAGTAGCTGCACCTAAACATATATCATCCTGATAAATTATCATATTTTCTACTCTTCCCGCTAACAAATTTTCTATACCTTTTTGAAAAATCG